TGGTGACCACATGCAGAAGATTGAAACAGGACCCCTATCTATCCCCATACACAAAAATTAACTCTAAATGGATTAGAGACATAAATGTAAAACCTCAAACTATAAGAACCTTAGAAAATGAAGAACATACCCTCATGGAAATCGGAACTGGCATCCATTTCCTGAACAAAACTCGAAACCCACAGGCCATAAGAGATAAGATAGATGAGTGGGACCTCATTAAACTGACAAGCTTCTGCAAAACCAAAGAAACCATCAAGAGAGCAGGGAGACAGCCTACAGACTGGGAAAAAGTATTTGCCAACTCCAGGTCTGACAAAGGCATAACATCTGGGATCTACAAAGAACTCAAATGTGCTGAAAAGAAAAAAACAAACAACCCCATTATAAAATGGGCAAAAGATAGGAACAGACACTTCTCAAAGGAAGACATCCAAGCAGCCAACAGACACATGAAAAAATGTTCAGCCTCACTAATCATCAGGGAGATGCAAATCAAAACCACACTGAGATACCACCTAACTCCAGTCAGAATGGCAATTATCAATAACAAAAAATAACAGTTGTTGGAGAGGGTGTGGCAAAAAGGGAACACTTCTACACTGTTGGTGGGAGTGCAAACTAGTGCAACCTCTGTGAAAAACAGTATGGTGTTCCTAACAGCTCTAAATATTGACCTCCCATATGACCTCGCAATCCCCCTACTGGGAATATACCCTGAAGAACTCAAATCACTCTATAAAAAAGATACCTGCACACGTATGTTTATCGCAGAACTGTTCACAATAACAAGAACCTGGAAGCAACCAGGCTGTCCATCAAAAGAGGACTGGATTAAAAAAATGTGGTACATATACACGATGGAATACTACGCAGCCATAAAAAAGAACAAAATCATGAATTTTGCAGCAACCTGGATGGAACTAGAGTCTATAATACTGAGTGACCTCTCACAGAAACAAATATCTGAGTATCACATGTTCTCACTCATATAGTGGACCTTGA